CCACACAACGGCCCCGAACGGGACCGTGTCATACCCCTCGGCGGCACCCCTTAGGGGCGTGAAAATGAGCGCCTCGCTCTGGACGTCCTCCAAATCTGTTCCGAAAGCGAAGGATGTTGGGACAGAAAACAAGCAAACCGCTTCAGACAGAAAATGAGAGCCTCGCTCGAGACATCCTCCAAATCTGCTCCGACTGCGAAGGATGTTGGGGCAGAAAACAAGCAAACCGCTTGAGACATCCTCACAAAACGGCCCCGGACGGGACCGTGCCATGCCCCTCGGCGGCACCCCTTAGGGGCGTGAAAATGAGCGCCTCGCTCGGGACATCCTCCAAATCTGCTCCGAAAGCGAAGGATGTCGGGGCAGAAAACTGGCAAACCGCTTGAGACATCCCCACAAAACGGCCGCGAACGGGACCGCGTCATACCCCTCGGCGGCTCCCCTTAGGGGTGCTGAAAACAGCGCCCAGCCTGAGACATCCTCACAATCTGCTGTGCGTAGAGTAGGTCAGACAATGAGAAGGCCTGAGTATGAGAAAGTCTGGGTATGAGTGAGTCTCAGCATGAGTAAGTCTGAATATGAGTAGGTCTGAGTATGAGTAGGTATGAGTATGAATGATTTCGTGTGTGAGTAAGTCTGGGTATGAGTAAGTCTGAGTGTGAGTCAGTCTGTGTATGAGTAAGCCTGGGTACGAGGAGGAGGACGGGGAAGAAGAAGAGGAAGAGGAAGAAGGAGTGGGAGGCGTCCAAGCAATAACAAATCCTCATCCTCATCATCGTCATCATCATCATCATGATCATCATCATCATCATCATCATCATCATCATCATCATCATCATCAGCATCATCACCAGACTCCTCCTCCTCCTCCTCCACCTCATCCCCCTCATCGTCATCATCGTCATCATCACCATCATCATCATCACCATCATCACCATCATCATCATCATCATCATCATCATCATCATCATCTCCATCATCATCATCATCATCACCATCATCATCACCATCATCATCATCGTCATCGTCATCGTCATCGTCGTCATCATCCCCTTCCTGCTCCTCCTCTTCCTCCTCCTCCTTCCTCCCTCCTCCTCCTCCTCCTCCTCATCCTCCTCCTCCCAGTTCCCCCTTCGTCCTCCTCATCTGCCCCCTCCTCCCTCCTCACCTTCCTTTTCCTCCTTCTCCTCCACTCGTCCTCCTCCTGATCCTCCTCTCTTCCTCCTCCTGCCTCCTCCTCCTCCTCCTCCTCCTCTGCCAGGAAGCCAGGTACACATGACGTGTTCCTCCGGCGCACCGGCTTCTCGAGCTCCTCCTCTTCCTCCTCTTCCTCCTCCTCCTTTTCCTCCTCCTCCTCCTCCTCCTCCTGTTCCTCCTCCTCATCCTCGATTATCAAGAAAGCGGCGCGGCCGTCGTCGTTGCGATCATCATCATCATCATCATCATCATCATCATCATCATCATCATCATCATCATCATCATCATCATCATCATCATCATCATCATCATCATCATGATCATCAGCATCATCATCATCATCATCACCATCATCATCATCATCATCATCATCATCATCACCAGCATCACCATCATCATCATCCCTTTCTCCTGCTCCTACTGGTGCTCATGCTCGCCTCCTTTTCCTCATCATCGTCCTCCTCCTCGTCCTCCTCCTACTCCTACTCCTACTCCTCCCCTGCCTCGTCCTCCTCCTCCTCCCAAGCCTCCTCCTCCTCCTCCTCCTCTTCCTCCTCCTCCTCCTCATCATCATCATCCTCCTCCTCCTCTTCGTCCTCCTCTTCCTCTTCCTCCTCCTCATCCTCTTCCTCCTCCTCCTCCTCCTCTTCCTCCTGCCTCCTCCTCCTCTTCCTCCAAATCTGCTCCGAAAACTAAACATGTTGGAAGAGAATATGGCCAAACCGCCTGAGACATCCCCACAAAATTCCGCGAACGGCACCCCGTGAAACCACCCCCCGCCCCCCCCCCTAAGTGCTGAAACCAGCGAATCGCCTGAGACATCCTCCAAATCTGCTCCGAAAGCGAAACATGTGGAAAGAGAAAAAACCAAAACCGCCTGAGACATCCCCACAAAATTCCGCGAACGGGACCCCGTGAAACCACCCCCCGCCGCCCCCCGTAGGAGTGCTGAAGCCACAGAATCGCCTGAGACATCCTCAACATCAGTGTGTGTGAGTCATCTGATGAGTGGACCGAGTCTGAGTGATGAGTTATTCTCGGGGCCGTCTAAGTGATGACTAACTCTGAGTGAAAAAACTGAGCATGAGGGAGTCTGAGTGGTGAGTAAGTCTGAGTGATGAGTGAGTCTGGTTGATGAGTGAGTCTGAGTGATGAGTAAGTCTGAGAGATGACTGAGTCTTAGGATATGGGGAACAAGAACCCCACTCAGTCATCACCCAGAACGAGTCTGAGTGAGTCTGAGTGATGCGTGAGTCTGAGTGATGAGTGACTCTGCGTGATGAGTGAGTCTGGGTGATGATGAGTGCGTCTGAGTGATGAGTGAGTCTGACTGATGAGTGAGTCAGAGTGATGAGTAAGTCTGAGTGAGTCTGAGTGAGTCTGAGTGAGGGAGGTGAGGTGAGGTGTTCTGACTGACTGACTGTTCTTCCGGCGCGGTCCGCCAATAACAAGAACCCCATACTTAGGATATGGGGACAAACGGAAGCGCTTCGCCGTGTTCGGCGGGCGCGAATTCATAGGAGGGGGGGCGATAAAATGAGGAGGGGAAGAGAGGTGCCGTGCTCGGGCCCTAAAGGCCCCCTTCTGCGGGCCCTAAAGGCCCCCTCCTGCGGGCCCTAAAGGCCCCCTCTGGGGCCCGACGAGGTGCCGCTAGGGGCCCTGCTGGGCCCTGTTTCGGCAGCCCTGCCCCCCCAATTTACCGCTTCCCCCCATTGCAGACAGGTCGTTCACAGCGTTATGGTTGTCAAAAGCAGACAGGTCGTGATTGGACAGCTTCCACTGCAAATGCTTGCGGCGGTCACTTGGTATTCCCCACTCGTTTGTTTCTCGTGTTCGCAACAGCGACGTATTGCAGCGAGCGTCGTCGACACCGTTATCTGAGATTCTGAAGGAACACCAGATAGCTCTGTACAGTCGAATCGCCAGCTCCCCAGGCCCATCCCTGATCAAAGACATCATGTGCAATGCAGACGGCATTCTCAAAAACTGGGCACGCCGTCGGAAACGAAGGCGCCCGCGACAACAGCGGGCGACTTCGGTGTATGCTTTGTCTTGTTTGGAACTCCACTTCGCCCACTCCTCGTCGTCCTCCTCCCTTCCCCCTCCCGCTCCTCCCTTGTTTCCTGCTTCACAATCATGATGCGCACCGTTTTCTGCTTCACGAGCGGGTGCACTTCATATTTCCACGCAGAGCTGCCAATCGTGCACTCTTCTGCCCACGCGTCCTTCCGGATGCTCGGCTCTGTCAACCAGCGGTCCAATTCGGGCTCCTGGAGTCCTCGCCGGGCACGCGATGGCGGCTTCTGCCCCCCTTCCGCCCGCTTGCGCCGATTGGCGAGAGACCCGCCCAAGTTGAAGCGCGCCACGGGCGCATTCAGAGGCTCCGACCGCCCACTCGGCCACACAAGCCAGAGCGAACCCGTACGGGCAAGGGCGACCTCTGGTGCGGGGCTCGCCGATCGTGGCACGCGGTGCGACGGTGGCGCTCCTGCGGCCGTCGCTCGGACGTCCATTCCCCGTGCATGTTTCGTTTTCGTGCGCTGATTTTTCGCAGGATGATCCAGGTCGTTTTCGTGCGTTGATTTTTCGTTTTCGTGCGTTGATTTTCGTGCGTTGATTTTTCGTTTTCGTGCGTTGATTTTTCGATGGTCCTCGCCGGGAAAACTCACACGTCCGAGCGATGCCAAGTCCAACTCCACCCCCCCGGAAGCCGCGCACCGAAGGTCACTTTGGCGATGGGCCACTCGGTCTTCGGTCCATGACCCGGGCTCGCTCTCGGCAAGGCGCAGCTGCTGGAACGCGTCCCGAGGCAGGAGAACCTCCAGGAACCGACGAACGCCTGAAAACGTCCAGCGAAGGGTCACCCTAACCCCGAAGATCCGATGTGATGCTCAATACGGGGTCCCTTCAAGCCCCGACCCGTTCCCCAGGGATAGCCTGTCGTCCCGAGTCAGTGTTGAATGGTCCAGGGGCCCGGCGAGGGCCCCCAGAAGCCGAAGACGGTGACAAAACTTCACATCTGTTGTTGTCGGTGCGTTGGAGGTCTGAACCACCACTGCGAACAATCGCCCTGGCCTCACTGAGACTGGACGGGGTAGGCCATGGCCTCTCAGAGAACCACGCACGCAGTGCAACGACTGAGAGACAACACGTATAACCAGAGGGGGAGAAGGAGGGAGTCCTGGCCGTATATGGCAGCGGAGTGCTTTCATGAGTCACGTGCTGTCACTCATTGTGGGTGTGTCAATGCATCGGCACTCGAGTGCCAACTGGGTGGGTGTGCCTTGGGCCGGCTGATCCAAGGTGAGGTCGCCAGCTTGGCCTCTTGCGGTGCTTGGTGTGGGCATCGGGTGCAGGTCGGCTCCGTGCTGCCGGAGGTACATTGGAGGTCTAGGCGGCCACGGGCGGCCACTCGGCGAATCCGCCACATACCAACCCGAGGTGGCAACGCGCGGCAGCGTGGCGACCACTCGACATACCCCTTGAGGCGGCAACGGGCGGGGACAAAGGCCTGACCTCGACATGCGTAACCAGTTCCTTGGTGAGAGACGCACGATCCCATTCGTGCAAGCACTGTCTGGGGAACGGTCAGAGGCCTCCCAGATGGGGTCGGAGCAGGCGGGTCCGAGGATCGCGCCGCATCGCCGATGCATCGGCGGCGTCGGAGATGCGTCGGCGCCGTCGGCGTGGAGAAGATCGGGCTCCACATCGAGCCGCATCGGCGATGAATCGGCGATGCGGCGCGATCCTCTGGCCCATCTGGGAGCCTAGAACGTTGGAGCTCTGGGCACGTGCGGCCGCTCTGGTTGCGGCCGCGGCGGACGGTGCGGAGGGAGGTGACGAACGGCTCGAGGGCCCCGGAGCTGCTTGCGGCCGCGTCGGGGGGGGGGGCCCGGCGCAGCGCGCAACGGGCGTGTCCGAGGCCGCGGCCGGGGAGGAGCGCACGAGAAATAACTAATGCTTCAGGCTGTCGGGCGTCTCGGAGCCCACAGCACCTGCGGTCCCGAGTCTGGAGCCAGGTACCAGTAGCCCGAGGATAGGAGGGGGGAAGACAAGGGGGACAAGGAGGGGGGACGAGGGGGGACGAAGAAATAGAAGGGGGAGGATGGGGGTGGAAGAGGAGAGGAGGAGGAGGAGGAGGAGGAGGAGGAGGAGCAGGAGGAGGAGGAGAGGGCGACGAGGGCTCAGTACGGGTTCCCCGGAAGTCCCGACCATGTCCCTGGAACCAGTTTTGCGCCCCGAGCCGTTTATTACAGTCGGACCTAGGCAAGAAGTGCATCCCGCAAGAGCATGAGACCCCCTGTCGGCCAAAGCAAACTGAACATCCAAGGCAGGGTACCCTCCCCAGAATGCATCAGAACATCCAACAAAACACGAGGAACACCAGGGTACCCCCCCGGAGGGACCCTCCCCGAACCGACCTCGACCTGATACCTCGGTCCGACTGTAATTAACGGTCCCGGAGCCCTGCGGGGGCTCCAAGAGGCCGACAAGGGCGAAAAGCCTCCGTGCCGAATCTGGGGGGGTACCAGAGGGTACTGATACCGCTGCTCCCCGGGCCTCTCCTGGGATGCGTTCTGACCAGAATTTCGAGGCGAATCCAGCGGTGGCGACGAGGGCCTCCCAGGAGGCCCAAAGAGGGAGAACACGGCCTAGGGGTAGCGGTATGGGTACCTTTCCCTCCTCCGAAACTTCTGATTATAATGCGCTCGAGGTCCGGGAGTCGCGGCGCCGCTCAGCCGCGCCCGGCGAAGGAGAGGTCTGGCGGCACGGCGACGCCCGCGGCGCGCAGCGCGGCGTCGGCGAGCCGCTCGGCGCGGCCCAGCAGCGCCCAGGCGTCGCGGTCGCCCTCCGCGGGCTCCACGCGCCGCAGGCGGAGGGACAGCAGATGCCCGGGAGAGGGGAGGCCCCCGCGAGAGCATCGCCTCGTTCGTCGGCCGTACTTACAGCTACCCCCTGTCGTAAGGACGCACCGTGAAGGTGCAAGGGCCTTGGGAGACCATGCAGACACTTTGCGAGCGCGGCGCGGCCAGCGACAGTGGCCAAGGATGGACAGAGGAGACGAGGATGCAAGGGTGCCCTTGGGAAGGTTGCCCATCCTTACTACGCGGGTTGATTGTAGGCCAGGAGAACGTCACTCAAGAGCACGAGACCCTCCGCCGGCCATAACAGACAGGACATGAAAGAGTATCCCTTCCCCAGGAGTCACAGGAACATCCAACAAGCACACACACACACACACACACGAAGAACACCAGGGTACCCTCACCGAACCGACCTCGATCTTATGCCTCGGTCCGACTGTAAGCGACCCCTGTGCCCACCGGCGTGGACCGGGCCCCATTGGCAGCTTTTTACCCCCCTGGATGGGGATATTGGCCGTTTCCTTCGGGTTTCGAATGGTATATCTCCAACTGAGGTGCTGAGATCGTCGGGCTCGGGATGGGGGTGGGGATAGGGATGCGGGTCGGTCCAGCCCCCCTCGCGTCGTGAAAACAGCACGGCGGGCGTTCTTTTTGTCGGCCTCTGCTGGGATCGACGCGGAGATTGCTACGGGAATGGGAGGGTTATCAGGCTTTTGTGGCCTGAGCTAGCCTGTAAGTGGCTTACAAGCGCCACGAGTCGCTTCGGGGGCAACGATCAGGGCCAAGATCGAGCTCTGCCCACTTCGCGGAGTGATCTTCACCCCCCTGAGCCATCGCAGCCACTGATAACACTCGGGGGCGGCCAAGAGGGGGGCGTCCAAGAGGGGGGGGTGCAAATCATGGCCGGCGGCATGTGCGCGACCCAAGGGGGGGCCAGGGACGTAGTGAAATAAGAAGAGGCGCCATGAAATCTGGGGAAATATCATGGCCCACGCCATGATACCCCCCCCCTAATCATGGAGGCCTTCGCCGGGCTGGGGGACTGACAAAAACCACCCGGGAGGAACAGCTGGTCCAGGGGAAGGTGTCGAGACCTCTGGAGATCGACGTTATGATTAAGTCGGGCCTGTCCCCCTACAGACCGATTTTGGGCGAAAAATCAAGAATACCCTAACAATATTCCAAGATGTATAAAAAAAAGCTTAAAAAATCGTCCCCCGTCTACTTTTTTGACTATTTTTGAATATTCCTCCTGTAGAGGGACAGGCCCGACTTAACGTTATGACAAAAACAATGACGTCGGGGGTCCGGGGAAGGCACCTGGGCCCAACGCTTCGAGGCTTGGGAGCGTTCTTCGCCCGCTTGGGGGACGCTCTCGTCGTCGCGGCTGGATCCGCGTCGAAATGGTGGTCCAGACGCACCCCAGCCTCGTCCTGAAAGCCCGAGGAAGGCACCCAGGCCCAGACGTTGGCTGCTGGGCGCTCTTCGCCACTGTTGAGGGCCTCTGGGAGCGCTCGCGTCGCCACAGCTGGATCCGCGTCAAAGCTCTGGATCGAATGTACTCGAGGAGAAGTCTGCCGGGGGTCGACTTTTGACCCCCCGAACAAATCAGTACGACCTCCTGGGGACCTCGCTTGGCCTCGGGATAAACGAACAACGACCCTGGATGAAGCTCTGCCCTGGGGAACCGGTCGGGACTTCCAGTGGCCCCAGAGTGAACAAAGCAACGCATCGGATCTCTGAGCAAATGCTCACCAAGGCCTATCGATCGAGGTTCCAGACTCGACGCTCGAGGACGTTCTGCAGCTTTTTGTTCTCCTCCTGGGGCGCTGTCGTCGCCACGGCAGGGTTCCCCCCGACATACCAGGCAAAACGCACGCCAAGACACGCCGGGGGGGGGGGCGACGCTTGCCCCCGAACGGGCAACCCCCTCGCGTCGGGGGAATGACCACGGCGGCCAGTGTTTGTACATGTTCGATTCTGCGGGTCCGTGCTGGCCCCAGGACCGTCGAGCACGGCTCGGGACCCAGACCCCCAACGCCATGATTTTTTCACAACGGCGACCCCCATGCAGAGGTCTCGACCCATGCCCCGAGCTCGGTTTCTCATCCTGAGTCGATTTTTGACGGTCCTGAAGCCCGGCGAGGGACCCCGATGCCGAAGATGGCGAAAAACGATTTTTTCATTGCACGAGGGGGTCTGGGGATGACGAGCATGGGGAAGCAAGTCGCCCTCGCTGCGGCGGGCCGAGACCCCCTTGCAGCGTGGACCTCGAGCCGGCTCTTGACGGCCCCGCGAGGGCCCCCAGGGAGCCGAGCATCACAAAAAAAACAAGCCACCGTGATGCCTCCACGGCGTGGGTAGTTCCGGGGCACGCCGCCTATACTCTACCACGGCACGCACTTTGAACGAATTCTGAAAACAACAAAAACACTGCTCTCAGAACCTGAAGCCAACGTTTCAAGCAAGAACGGCCTCAGACAGATACGTTCGAGGAACGCCTCGCGCAAACCACACAAGGCTCCTACAGCAGTCTTTGGTGGGCCTACGGGCAAGCTGGGACGCCTCACCACTGCTTGACTAGCACGGGCACCGGCCCCGGCTGGGCGTTGGGGGCGGACAGCAGGCCCGTGGATCCATGGCTGCGGCCCGCTACGGCGAGCTCGCGTCGTGCCGCCCCCTGCGTTGGTTCCTGACACCGCGGGGATCGCTCAAACCAGAACGATCGGCCGCTTCCGACGTACGTCAGATCGTGGAACATCGACCGATCCTTTTGGACGCCCGAAATGGGTACGGAAAAAATGGGTACCATACCCAACAACAAAGGTTGTCCCAAACCAACAGCGGCCGCTGTTGGGCAGGCGGCCTTCTGTCTCAAATGGACACAGGCCGCGGCGGCGCGGGCAGCGAGTCCTGCTCAAGACGAACAAGAACTGCTGTTGGGCATCGCACCCATTCTTTCCGTGCCCATGTCGGTCGTCCCGAACCTGGGTCGCCAGCGGCGTTCAGCGTCGAACGCCGGCGGCGGGGTCACGACCACGCGGCAGGACGCGAACCTGCCGCAACTCCGCGCAGCGCGCCCCGCGGAGGCGCACCGACCGCGGAGTCCTCTTGGCGCTGCTCGCGAGGCCGCCTCGGATGGGGCGGCTCTCCGGCCCGGGCCGCGAGGCGCGACGGACACGGCCACATCCTCGAGCCCCAAGATCGGCTACACGCAAGAGTGACCCTTGGCAAGAGTGACCTTTGGTGCGCGGCTTTTTGGGACCGCGGGGGGGCCACGAAGCCAGCGCGCAGGCCGCTGCGACCGCTTCTCCTTCAGCCATCTGGGGGCCCATCCGTGCCCGCACCAAAGGTCACTCCGGCGAAAGGTCACTCTTCCGCCTAGTCGACAAATTGGCGGGGCGGCCTGGCGCTCCCCCCCTCCCGAGATGCCGCTTCGTCTGGACGGCCTTGACCATCCTCTGCACCCCCTCCCTCCTGAGGGGGGGGCCGAACGGGGCGGGGCCGGCTCGGGGGGGGGGGGGGGGCCAGCCCTGGCGCGGCATCGGCCATGCGGCGCCCAGGAATCGGCGACGGGCGGCCGATGGGCAAGCCCCGCGTTCCTGGGCCTGCGAGGAAAATGGGCGACTGGGGGTCCATGCCCCCCGCGGGCCGGAGCTGGACGGACTTGCGACATCGGGTCAGGTCGGCAACGGATCGGATCGCCAGCGAATCGCCCCGAATCGAACAGAAGCAAGAGCAGCCTGGCTCCGGCCGGCCCCGGCCGATGCGGGCGAACCGAACCGAGTCGGAACCGCGGCCCCGGCCGGCGAGTCGAACCGCGCCGGAGAGCACCGTAGGCAGCCATGCCTGGGCCAGAGCCCCCTCCTGACGAGGAGGCCACATGCGAACCCTTCCCGTGCCCCCCACGATTTCTGAGGGGAAGGGTGGGGTTCACTTCGCTCGGGAGCTCCCGAACGGAGTGAACCCCACCCTCTCCCTCAGAAATCGTGGGGGGGAGGGGTAGGGTTCGCATGTGGCCCCCTACTGACGTTGCCCCGATGGTCTCCTCTCCAGCCAGCGCACCTCCGTCTGCAGCGACTCCAGGCCGCACGGGTCGCCGCGCAGCGCGGCCAGCAGCGAGTCCGTGGCGCTCCGCGCCTCCGCGTAGGACCCGCTCCTCGGCAGCTTGTGCAGCAGGATCGCCTCCAGGGGAGGTCGGCATCGAGTCGGGAAGCCGGATCGGATCGGAACGTGCGCCAGCTCGGGCCGCGTCGGCACGGCGTCGGAGTCGGATCGGGTCGGCGGCGCCAGGATGCACAGCAGCGCGATGCGGGGGCCGCATCGGACCGTCGGGATACGGGACTCGCATCGAGCCTGGCCCGGCGGACCCGACACCGCATCGGGCCCGTCGGATCGACATGGGCCCTGCCTCTATACGGTGCAGATCGTCCACGGCGTAACGCGCGGCCGTGAGGCCGAGCGGCAGCGGGAGAGCCTCGCGGTTCGCCGCGTGCGCGGAGTCGAAGTCGATCTGCTCCTTCTGGGGCAGGCCTTCCAGGTGCTCGGGGGGCACGTGCGCCAGCATCTTGCCCATGCCGAGGCCCAGGAAGGCCGCCTTGGCGTCCACGATCGCCTCGGGCGTCACCGCGAGCTGGACGGGCCAGTGCTGGTACAGCAGGGATTCGCAGTCGCCGCGGACGCCCCACATGACCTTGACGATGCGCGCGCTCTCCATGATGCGCCGCAGCAGGCCGATGCGGCCCTCGCCCTCCAGGTGCACCAGCAGGCCCAGCTCCCAGTGCCCGCGGGTTCCGTCCGCCGCGTGGGCGGGCGCCAGCGTCAGGCCGTCCATTGCCCTACAGGCAACCACCAGTACCGACAGCGCTACTCCCTGGACCTCTCCCTGGGTGCGTCCTGCCCAGAACTTCGAGGCGAGTCCAGCCGTGGCGACGAGGGCCTCCCAGGAGGCCCAGGGGAGCGTAGCGGCATCGGTATCGGTACCTGTTCCTCCTGTGAGACCTGGTGACCTGGACCTGTGCGGTGGTTAGCACGCCGCCGTGCCCGGGCATCTCGCCCTCGAAGTCGGCCAGCACGGTGGCCCCGCGGGCCTCGCAGCAGGCCGCGTACCCCGCCGCGAGGCCGAGCAGCCTGGCCGCCTCGGCGTCCGTAGGCGCGGGCACCCCCTCGACCATCTGGCGGCCCGCCAGCACCAAGAAGGCCGGCTGCACGCAGGAGCGGCCCTGGGCCAACCGGGGACCGCGTGGCCCCAGGCCGGGGAGGAGGAGGAGGAGGAGGAGGAGGAGGAGGAGGAGGAGGAGGGGAGGAGGTGGAGGAGGAGGAGGAGAAGGAGGAGGAGGAGGAGGAGGAGGACTTAGGGAGGAGGGAGGAGGAGAGGAGGAGGAGGAGGTCAGGAGGAGGAGGAGGAGGGGAGGAGGAGAGGAGGACTAGGGAGGAGGGAGGGAGGAGGAGGAGGACGGAGGAGGAGAGAGGAGGGGAGGAGAAGGACGAGGAGAAGGAGGAGGAGGAGGAGGAGGAGGAGGAGGAGGAGACGGAGGAGGAGGAGGAGGAGGAGGAGGAGACGAGGAGGAGGAGGAGGAGGAGGAGGAGGAGGAGGAGAGGAGGAGGAGTGAGGAGTGAGAGCGAGGGGAGGAGGAGGAGGGGGTGGGAGGAGGAGGAGGAGACGGTAGGAGGAGGAGGAGGAGGAGGAGGAGGAGGAGGAGAAGACGGAGGAGAAGGAGGGGGAGGAGGTGGAGGAGGAGACGGAGGAGGAGGAGGAGGAGGAGGAGGAGGAGACGGAGGAGGAGGAGGAGGAGGAGAAGGAGGACGAGGAGGAGGAGGAGGAGGAGGAAGGAGGAGGATGGTCCTCCCCTCGCTGCGAGCCCTTTGCGCCGCGGGCTCGCCGGTCGGGGCACCTTCGGCGCGACGTGTGGTGGCCTGCATGCTCGGGCGCGGCCCCGGCTCTGCCCCCCGGAAGCCGCGCACCACGGGTCGCGGCGCGTCGTCAGGAGGCCGCAGGTCGGGTCGGGCGAAAGGGGGGGATAGCAAAGGGGGGGGTGAGAATCAGCTCACGCAGCTGATTTTCCCGGCGCCTCCCGGCGCCGGAGGCGACTATGTATCGAGGAATGGGCCCCTCGGTGAGGCCGAAACCAGCTGCATGCAGCAAATTTCGTGACCCCCCCTTTCCCAATCCCCCCCTTTCGCCCGACCCGATCCTAGATGGGGTCGGAGTAGATGAGGTCGGAGGGTCGCGCCGCATCGCCGATACATCGACGATGCATCGGCGATGCATCGGCGATGCATCGGCGATGCATCGTGGACGTCGGCGATGCATCGACGACGTCGACGTGAAGCTAATCGGGCTCCACATCGAGCCGCATCGGCGATGCATGGGCGATGCGGCGCGATCCTCCGAACCCATCTTCTCCGACCCCTCTGGGAGGCCTAGGCCAAGGGGAGGAGGGGTTTCGAAAGCAAGGCGCGCAGGCCAGCGCCGTGGCTGCAGGCTGGGGCCGAGGCCGAGAGGCGAGGCTGCAAGCGGGGGCCGAGGCCGAGGCGGAGGCGGAGGCGGAGGCCAGGGGGCTCCTCGTGGCCCCGCGCCACAGTCGGGGAGACGAAGTAGGCTCGGGTGCGGGGGACTCGGCTCGGCCTGACGGGGCCATCACGAAAAGGACGAGACCCAGTCTAAAGTTTAACGCGAGCTCCCGCTGCAGACATCCCACGGCAACTGGACCGTCAAAATCCAAAGGCGGGCTCGCAAAAAGTTGTTAAAGGCGCAGGCGAACCCAAGCTCCGTCGCACTCGAGTCTTACGGGCCCCGCGCCACCAGAGGCCAGTCTGGTGGAGGGCCACTCTTTCCGCGCAGCCGCTCAGGGGCAGCCGAGCGAGCTCTCGAACACGAAGCGCTCCAGCAGCTCCCCAGCGCCCTCGCCGCACACGCCGCCGCCGGCCGCGGCAGCCTCCAGGAAGGCGGCGATGGCTGCGCCGACGTCGCCAGCGGGCGCGGGCCTGCCTGGCGCGTCCTCGAACAGGCCGCCGAAGCACCCCGAGGCCGGGGGGCTCAGGCTCTCCGAGACGTTGACGGCCTTGAACCTTCCGCGGCCCTTGCCGTCGTCTCGGATGTCTCGGGGACGCGCAAGCCGAGGTCAGCGCTGAACCCAGGTCGGACAGCCGCTGCCAAGTCGCGACCCTGGCCTGGCCACGAAGTAAGCAGCCCCCAGGCCCGAGGCCGTGAGGAAGGGGGCAGGCGGGGAGACGGCCCAACGTGGCCTGCTCCGGAGACGCGGATCGACAAACGATGTGTGCTTGGGACACGTCTTTCACTGCCGCCGCCGTCCGCTGGCCTCCCGCCGGCTTCCACCGGCGGAGGCGCCCTCGATCGTCTTACGCGCCCTCGCCTCACTTCCGCCGGCATCCGCCGAGCTGCCGCCCTCCGCCGAGGAGGGAGTGCCGGCCTTTTTCCGGCCCTCGGAGGCGAGGCCCTTGCTGGAACGCCTCTGCGCGGCTCCCAAGCCCGGGCCTGCCACGGGGGAGCAGCGTCGATCAGCTGCCCCCTGCCAGCGCTGATCCTCGCCGCGTGCGCGTCCCGGATGTCGAAGATCACCTTGTCGCCGGGGAGCAGCTCCTCTGCGCCGATCAGCGCGGAGCGGTGGACGAAGACGTCCTCGCCTCCGCCGTCGGGCAGGAGGAAGCCGAACCCCTTGTCGCCGACCCAGCTCTTCACCGTGCCGTGGTGGGACATCGGGGCGCCGCGCCCCCGAGAGCGGCCTGGGGCCTGGAGCCACGGCGGCGGCAGAGGGGGGGGGAGGAGCAGGGGAGGGAGCAGGGAGCAGCAGCAGGAGAGGGAGGGGGGCAGGAGGGAGGAGGGAGGTGGAGGAGGAAGGGGCGGAGCAGGAGGAGCAGGGCGGAGGAGGCGGTGGAAGGAGGAAGAGGGGTCGGGGAGGCGAAAGAAGGAGGATTCATGGGCAGGGGGAGGAGGGTACGGTGAGGAAGAAGAAGAAGAAGAAGAAGCAGAAGCTAGGGAGATACTATGGATGATGAAGGATGCAGAAGGATACGACGAAGGAGGTCACGATAACGAGGATGACGATGCCGAGGAAGGAAAAGGAAAAGGGTGAGGAGGAGCAGGAGAAGGATAATCAGGAGAAGGACAGGGTGTGACGATGACAAGGGGAAAACAGTGGCAGGAGCACGAACGAAAGGAGAAAAAAAGTGGGAGGAAGATGACGGGGCTGAGGAGGAGGAGGAGGAGGAGGACGACGACGACGACGAGGGGATAATGTGAGCCCAAGACTGATACACTGCACGTGGGAACACTGCCAGTATACATGTCTAGAACGGCCCCAGATCGCCAGAGCCACGTTTCTCGACACCACGCGAACCATAGCATGCAGCATGCACGGAGACAGCCCAGCGTGGTAGCCGCCGCAGCTTCGCCGCCAGAAACGCTGGTCCCCCCCCCGAGAGAGGACGGGGGAGGGGCCCTCCCTTTCCATCTCGCTCCACGGCCAACACTGCGCCTGGGTGAGAGAATGACGGCGGAAGACAGGCGAGACGGGAGAGGAAGGAGTGGAGAGGGGAGGCAGCCAGAGGGCTGGCAATCCTCCACCCCGCTGCGCTTCGGCCCAGCTCCATCCGCTCCCGCCACAGGGGGCTTCTCGGTCCGAGAGAGGGCCATGGAAGACAAGTGCTGGAAATAAGAAACACACCATCAACTGTTTTGTTCTTTCTTACTTTTACCCTGAGCGCAGGCAGCTACAGGTCGAGGAGGAGAGAAGGAGGAAGAAGGAAAGCGAAAACGAGGGGGGAGGAGAAGGAGACAGAGACAAAGCAAATAAGAAAGGTACAACTCAGATTGGGTGCGCGCAAACACTACATAAACGTTTGGCGCTCCGCGCGGACTCCTTGGATCTGCGCTGGATCCCCCCCATCCCTGGCGAGCCTCCGGCGCCAGGGGAGGCGCCAGAGATGCCGCCGGAGCGCCCAAAAAGTGTACTGCAGGTCCGTGCCGTGTCGACACTGGCGTTGGTTCCTGACACCGCGCTGGATCGTTCAACCTTGAACGATCGGCCGTCTCCGCAACGTCCGATCGTTCAACATCGACCGATTCTGGGCCGCCGTCGGCGTTCAACGTTGAACGTCGGCGGCGGGGTCGCCGCCGGTCGACACGACGCGAACCTACCGTATGCGAATGGAGTGCTTTCTTCTTCGAGATGGGCTTGGCCTCGCTTGGGAGGGCGCCCACTCGCTCGCCTGTGGACCCCCTACAGCTATCCTGCAGGGGCGGCCCTCTCCCGCGCGGCTGCCGCCGGACCCTTCTCCCGTGCGGTGCCCGCCCTCCCCGCGGTGGCTACCCTCCCGGGAGGGAGGAGGGGCAGGAGGAGGAGGAGGAGGAGAAGGAGGAGGAGGAGGAGGTGGAGGAGAAGGAGGAAGAGGAGGAGAAGGAGGAGGAGGAGGAGGAGGGGCAGGAGGAGGGGGAGGCGGAGGCAGGAGGAGGAGGAGGTGAGGAGGAGAGAGGAGGAGGAGGAGGAGGTAGGAGGAGGAGGGAGGGAGGAGGGGGAGAGGGGGACGAGAAGGAGGAGGAGGAGGCAAGAGGAGGAGGAAGAGGAGGAAGAGGAGGAGGGGAGGGCATGCCTTGCCTCCTCCAGGCTTCTCCTGGCGAGGGCACCGAGGCCCGACTGCCTCCCGACTCCCGCCGCGGGCCAGGAAGCCCCCTTCCACGGCGCAGCACTTTCCGGCACGCAGGACCTCGGGAACCCTGCCCTGGACCTCTCCTGGAGCGCGCTCCGACCAAGCCGGCGGACCCACGCGACACGACCAAGAGGGGATCCCCCAAGAATGCACGGGAGAGAGGGAGGAGGAGGAGGAGGAGGAGGAGGAGGAGGAGGAGGAGGAGGAGGAGGAGCCCCCTCCCCTCGACTCGTCGACGACCGGGGCCCCTCTGGAAACGCCCCCCGGTTTCGACGGGTCGTCGTCTTCGACGCCGACGCCGCCGTCGCAGGATCAGTCCGCATCCCAGCGGGACACGGGATCGGATCGGAACGTGTGCCGCATCCCTTATTTGGTTCTTCCTCACCTCCCCTCCAGCACTTCTGCCATGTGAAGGTGGACGCTTGCTCTTTGACTCATCCGGATCATGAAGTTTATCATGTAGGTCGATGGCGTTCCATCGAGGAGGCCGACCTCGCCCTCAGCCCGGAGCAGGAGGTCGCGAAGGGCGCCGAGCCGGCCCGCCAGGAGCGCCCTGCCGCTGGGGAGGTGGCCAAGGTTCCGGGCGGAGGTGACCATCGGCACGCAGTCTGCATCGCATCGGATGGACTGCGCCAGGTTGCACGGCAAGCCCCAGGCCGCACCGACTCGCTGGAACACCGGCATTGGAACGGACCTCCCAGAGGTCCTCCGGAACCGGAGATTGGTTCCCGAGCAAACTTCCGAACCGGAACATTTTGGGCAGCAGCGAAAGCTCCGGAACCATCATCGCATCCCGGAACCATCTTACTTGAGAATATATATATATATATATATATAAATATATAACACAAATATGTATGTGTATATATATATATACATACATGTATTTAGATATAGATGCGTTATGTATTATATACATACGCATATATATGCACATATGTAGACTCATAGTTCAACACGTATATATTGTGTATATATATGTTTGCATAGACAAACGGCGACAGTAATGTGTAATAGTTAGTTGTATATATATATATACACACACGCATGTGTATATATACATGTATATCAGAGCACCATACCCAGGCCAGCCACAACTGGGAGTGCTGCGGTGTTTACGCCCTGGGGGGGGCCATCGATTTCGACACCCCTCTCGAGAGATCGTCGATGCGATGGGTTCGTCCACGGGGCATATAAGGACCACAGCTCCCCCAGTTATGGCTGGTCGGATACCGAATCCGCCTGCATGCAAATGCTGGGCTCGAGCGCCCATGCCCAGGCCACGCGGCCACGCTGGCCGTGACAAAACATGGGGGGGAGGAGGGCGATGACGGGGACAGGGATGGGGAGGGGGGGGGGGGGCGGAGGAGGAGGAAAAGCAGCAGGCGGGCTGGTTGCATACGGGCTGCCCCCTCAATCCCACGCAGCCTGGGGTGCTCGAGGCTCTCTCCCAGAGGAGGAGGACGAGGAGGAGGACGAGGAGTAAAAGGAGGAGTAAAAGGAAGAGTAACAGGAGGAGGAGGGGAAGGAGGAGGAGGAGGAACGGGGGGAGGAGGAGGCATGGGAGGAGGGGGGTGAGGAGGAGGAGGAGGAGGAGGAGGAGGAGGAGGAGACGGAGGAGGAGGAGGATGAGGAGGAGAAAGAGGAGGAGGAAGAGGAGGAGGAGGAGGGTGACGATGATGATGATGATGATGATGATGATGATGATGATGATGAAGATTATGATGAAGATGCTGATGACGACGATGATGGTGGTGCTGCTGATGATGATGGTGATGCTGCTGATGATGACGATGGTGATGATGATGCTGATGATGCTGATGCTGATGATGATGTTGATTACCATCATCATCGTGATGAAGCTGATGCTGGCGCTGGTGCCGATGCTGGTGCTGATGCTGGGGCGCCCCATCAGCACCAGCATCGGCACCAGAGCATTGCATAACATAGGACGGCACTGGCATACCACAGCTGTTAGCATTGGTCAGCGTCGCACGACAAACCACAACTGTTGATCACGATGCCCTTTTCACTGAGCTTCACTTACACAAGTCTCAAGGAAACCCACTCCAAACACGGCAAGCACTGCGAAACCACGCTGAGAAGCCAGAAACTGTACTAGGCTCTGATCACGCATGACAAGTACCTTTTCATTATTTGCAATATACAAAACGTTGTGCACCTACAACTGTGGCGATGTACACTGGGGCAATCCCAGAGCGAGCCGCCATATTCCTGACACACTGAACAAAGCACATGCACGAGCATCATCATGCACTGAGCGCTGCCAATGAACATACAAAATGCTAAGAACATCAGCCGATGAAGAACGTGTCGATTCTGAGTTGCCACCCAAAGCGCTCAAGGATTGATCGGACCTGCCCCCATGGAACTCTGAGCTGCACTGAAAACCAAGGACAGGCCATTAGCGTCGGTGCAGACCTGCGCAAAATGCCACATGCACGCCGTATTGAGGCCGACGTATGGATTGAGTCTGTCCTCCCAGTCCTCAGGCCAAGGAGCATTCATGCGCGCCGCTTCATCGACGATCTGCACCGCGCGGTACTGCATCGCGTACTCGTAGAACTCCTTGTATGTGGATGGGCGCTGGTTGTTCAACGAACGCCTTGGCACGATGCCCCGATCAAAGACCATTCCGATACCCAGTTCCCGATCGAGCGTCTGGTGGTACATGCATCCAACCGCGCACCCGAGGGACAATGACCCGTCCCACTCGCCAAGGAACAGCACCTTCATCCGATTCGCCGTGGCTGCAGCACACAGCGCAACTACGTTGATGCTGCCGTCACCGTTTGGCGAGATGAAATCGTTCGGCCTGAGGGGGCCGTGGAGCTTCCTGCGCACTCTGTTGGTCCCGCCGCCGCCCAGAGGCCTCAGGCCGTCTCCCGCATCATGGTTGCACTCCTTGGGAACGTAGCCAGGCACGTGCCCCATCTGGGCCTCGACGACGGGAGTGCCCCCGCCACGACGAGCTTCGTTCGACCGCATGATGGTCACAACAGACGCAGATGGACATTGTGCGATGACCGCCTCGAAGCACATGACCTCGTAGTGCATCCTGCG